GGAAATTTTACCTTTTGTGACAGCATGGATGGACCTGGAGAGTAGTATGCTAAGTGACATAAGCCAGGCAGAGAAAGATAAATGCCATATGATTTTGCTTATAAGTGAAATCTAGTGAACAAAACAAACAAAATAGAAACAGATTCATAGATATAGAGAACAGAGGGACTGCTGTGCGAAAGGATGGGGGTCGGGGGGCTGGGTGAAACAGGTATAGGATTGTCTAACCACTATGCCGTACACCTGAGAATTAATACAAAGTAATACTGCATGTAGACTGCAATTAAATAATACAATTTAAAGTTCATTTAAAAAAAAGAATTGTTTTGCGTGCTATCAGTTACTACAACTTACAGAGTTGTAAAGTAACACAAAGACAACGCAGGGCAGAAGGGGACCCAGCTCCGTGCTCACCAGGGCTTCCCCGGCCTGGAGAGCACACCTGAGTGCCGCCCCACCCAGCTTGGAGAGCTGCTTCCCCAGGCGGCTGCAGCAGAGGAGGAGAATGCTCGTGGTGAGCTGAGTATGCCTTCCACGTGCCAGGGAGGGAGCTAGATCTTGAAGATGCAACTGCTAACATGACTTTACAGCTCTTCTTGGTTATCTTAGGTATGACAGATTCTGTAACAAATGCTTGTGAGTTACTATAAAAAAAGGCAAACAGTCTGAAAAGGATGTGTGTAGACCGAGGCAGGATAGTAAGAAGCTAAGAAAAGTTCTTGGCAAGCGGAGTGGGGAAACTGAGACAAGACAATTAAACAAGGTGAAACAATTTGACCAATTTACAGCCAGCTAGTAACCTCATCTTCCCTAACCAAGAACACTTGAGAACAAATGGTTTACACCTCTCCTCCCTAACCAGAGAATATATAGTGTAAATCACCCTGGTCAGGGAGATACAGAGCAGAAACCAAATTAATGCATTTGTGCCAGCCAACCCCAAGGACAAATGTGCTCATGGGGCGGGCCGGGGAGGGAATAACAAAAACCTGCTCAGAGCCAGACAGAGCCAAAATAAAAGTACAGTGGTGAGGCTGACCAGAGAATGATCCCATACTCCCCTATGAGCTCGTTTTGATGAGTCAACATGTTGAAAGGTGCACCTGGAAAACTAGTGAGTATTCTGGTGAGACCCCTCCCTGAAACCTCCCCTAGAATTCCCGCCTGCAGAAGAGACTCTTCTTAAGACTAAGACTCTTAAGACTAAGGAGGCTAGCGTGGGCTCTCTCTGGAGCACACTCATGTCGTTTTTGGGATATGAACTTTTTACTTTCTTTCTCCTACACTCTTGGGGTCCCCACGAGACGTGCAACCAGGGCAGCAACGAGCAGCAGGCAGTGGCAGCTCGTCCCAGGGTTTACCCCTTGAACCTATCTCCAAGGTCCCCCTTTTTCTCTGACTTCCCAGGGAGCTCACGGCAGCCCCGCCTGGCTCACTTCTGTCACTGTGACTTTCACTTCTCGGTGAGTTCATGCAGCCCAGCATGGGCCACTCCTTTCCGACCACATTTCTAGGGAGACAAAGCAGAGCAAGGCCTTCTTTTACCCTATGCTCTTCCTTTGTTCCACTGTCCCCAGCTTTAATAAATATACTCTCAAAATGAGTTGGGTTTAGGCTGTGAAATTTTTCCTGCACGAAGGCAAGAACTCATGCGCTACAGGCCGGCCTGAGGCAGGCCTGCTGTGGTCCTGGCCCGTTTTGGGTGGCACAGACAACAATTGTTTCCACCCAAACTGATAACTACTCTGTCAGTTTCTTAGGTATCTGCCAGGTTCGTCTCTAACATGCAAACATAAATGTATGTACTGTCATCTTTAAATATACTGCTGAGGTGTCATACTGTCCATAGTGCTTCAGACACTTCAGTGTATGCCCCCACCTGGCTCTTTTTCAGATGGTCTCTGTGACATGCTGGCAATGGCAGAGCTGCCAAAAAGGAGCTTCCTGCCTCATCCAAAGGTGGGAGATGACAATGTTCCCTGTGAAGTCCCTGCAAGGGTCCTGGGAACCAGGCATAGCCACACCTTCCAGACAGGTACACAACTATGACTACAAAGGCCACAGCCATCACGGGGCCTGGAAAACCCTGACCCAGGGGGGAGGAAGGAGAAGAGAGGTCCAAGAGATAGAAAGTTAGCAAGTGCAAACAGACTCCAGAGCAGGGGCTCCTTACGGGGCTAGGTGGCTAACACAGCAGGTGAGGCTGGCCAGGCCAGGAGGAACCTGGGGAGGCGAGGCCTGCAGGGCAGCACGGCCTGCCCTCCTGCTGTGCAGCAGCAGCCCGGACTTTGCTCCAGCCAGGCTCTGCCGTGAGGGATTGTGGGGCTGGTATTGCAAAGGCCTCATTTTTCGAGAATGAAAACGTTAGTCCTGGCTGGCTTAGCTCAGTGGCTTGAGCACGGGCACATGCCTGGGTTCCGGGGGCCACATGAGAGGCAACCACACATTGATATTTCTCTCTCTCTTTCTCCCTCCCTTCCCCTCTTTAAAAAAATAAGTAAATAAAATCTTTAAAAAAAGAATAAAATGTTAATGTAAAAACCGTTTCATTTTAAAAAGAGAATATTGTTAAATTGAAATGTTATCCGGTTTTGAAGAGGTAGTTTATCCACATTGCTCAAAGATTTAAAAGGAAATGGGGTTTATAGTTTTCCTTCCCCTGCTGTACTCGGTCACCTAGTTACCCTCCCCAGGGACTCGCAGGATCTTGAATCCCTCCGGACCTGTTGCAGGCATACGAAGGTGAACATTCTAGTACGATTATAACTATCACATATCGTCCAAAATCAATTCCTTACTCCATCCACTACTATTAGCCCCATTTTATAGATGAGGAAATGGAGGCACAGACAGGTGAAGGTTATTCAGACAATAACAGTAGACCTGGGGGGTTGAATCCTGATTATTTACACCTGGGAGTTACAGTTTTCAAAGTTCTCCACTTCTGTGAGCTTAGCCTCGCAGCAATCCTGGGAAGCAGGTGGGAGGTCCCGTGGCTCACCCAAGGCCATGCTGCACTGGGGGCAGATGTGGAAGTAAAGTTCAGGTCTCCTTGGGGCTCATCCTGCCACACACACACACACAAAGGTCTGCATTGTGCCAGGATGAGAAGGCCATGCACATGGGTCTCCCAATTGTGTGGGCAGTTAGGGTCCATCCCAGGATGGGGAGGCTGGTTAAATCCATGACTCTGAATTCAAGTCACTTAGCAGGGTTTCCGGCAGAGAAAGCAAGGAGAGTCACAAAACTTTGGACAGACTAGGCTCCACATTACGGAACTGCTTTCAGTTGCCATGTGCACTGCCTCCACACCTTTGCTCACACTGTTCCCTCGTCTGAGAACACTCTCATCCCAAGTGCTCACTCTAGCTAACTCACCAAGCTTTGCAATGCACCTGGGTTTTTATCTCTTCCAGGAAACCTTGCTCCTTTCTGAGGCTGCATCAGGTGACCCTCCAGGCTCTCCCTAGATCCTCAAGCTTACCACTTGGTATTACAAATCCAGGATCCAGGGGCTGCCCTGCCTGGGTAGCTCAGTCGGTTGGAGCATCGTCCTCATGGCCACGGTGCTAAGGTAGCGGGTCCCATCCCTGGTCAGAGCACATACTGGAATCAACCAATGAATGCATAAATGAGTGGAGGAACAAATCTCTTACTCTTCCTTCCTCTTTCCCAAATCAATAAAGAAAGAAATAAATAAAATAAAAATGTAAGGCTGTGTTCTTATCTTCCTCAAGGGCAGGATGGGACCCCACATTCTCATTGTACTATTCCCTGCAAGTTAGTGCCCGACACTCAGCAGTGCAAAATGCATGTTAACTGAGGTGAATGACCAGGGGTAGGGTCAAACACCTCGGTTCCCTCATCACTACCTGGATTAAGGCACTGTGGACAGTGTGCTATTCATTTCTGGCATATAGAGGGTGCCTGGTTAAACTTTATGGGCTTGAATTAAGCAGAACTAATCGATCTGTAAATACATCGCACATCTGAGCAGAGAAGTCATTCGGTTCCAGGTTCCACGACACTTAGATAAAAACTACATGAGGCAGTGAGCACAAAACTCAAAATAGGGGCTCAAAACATGCCGATTTCTTTTCTCATCTGGACCGAAAGCGCTGGGGGGTGAGGAAGACAGGTTCAGTCCTCCCAGGACTCTCATCATTACTATGCCATTCCTGCGCGACTGTTGCTCGGTGCTCAGGAGCGGCTCTTCCACTGTGGCCTCAGATCCTGGCTGGGGGAAGGGCTCTCTGCCCTTGTGCCCCTGTAGGTTGTAAAAGACCGATGGTGAAATAAGGGAGGCTCCTGAAGTCCATCGTGGGGCTACCCCCACCCAACTGTTTTCCCAATTGGCACCTAGTAGGCACTTACTAAATATTAAACCTAGTAAAGGACCCAAACCCCAAGGCGAGAGAGGATGGGACCAACAGCGCCTCCTTGCGGTGCTGTTCACCATCCAGCCGTCACCTGGGAGAAGTGACCCTGCAATTCTCCACTGAAGGCTGGACAGCACAAACTGCAAGGGGGAGGGGCCCTTGGAGGGCATATAGTCTACATCGCCCCTCACCCCTTTTTAGAGGTGGGGTACGGGGCCCAGATGGGGGAAATGACTCGTTCGAGGGGCTCCGGGAGTTGTCTGGGAGAGCTCTCGGAGGCAGTTTGAGGGTGGAGACGGCCGAGCGGGCTGTCGTGAGCTGCGTTTGTAGAGCCAGCATCCTGTAAAGACTTAGGCGAGTGAGTGTTTGAGGAGGCGGGAGATGGGGGAGTCCGGGCACGGCCTCTGGCGACAGTGAAACCAGAACCCCGAGGGGCGGACACCAGCGCCACACCCCCGAGGGCTCGCCGCTTGGTGCACAGCGCCCCCCAGCGGGATGCCGGGGTCCGGGCACGCTGCGTGCCCGACAAAGAGCGCGAGTTCAGGGGATCCGAGCCCACCGCACTAGAGATCGAGTCGGGCCCAGTAGTCCCCTGCCCTCCGCGGCTGCCCCTTAGTAGTGGAAAAGGAGGGAGCAAGTTCATTCGGCCCCCGCCTGCGCGCGGGCGGGGCTTCCGGAGGTGGGACCCTGGGGGTGGGGCGCGCCTGGAGCTGACGTCGTCGGAGCCCACACTCTGCCCCAAGATGACAGCGAGCAAGCGGGTCGCGAAGGTAATTACCTGCCTGTAGATTGACCCCTTTGTCAAGGCTCCCCTCGCCCTCCCCAGTTCCTCCTCCTTCCGTTCTTCCCCGGGGCTCTCCGAGCGCATTTGTTTGTACGGGTTCCGGGGCTGGCTGAACCCTCTTATCCTCTCCTTCGCCCAGTGGAAGGAAGAGTGGGTCTGCGAGAGGGGCCAGAGCTGGAGTTTTGGGGGTGTCTAGTGGCATATCAGGCGGAGCTGTCGCCGGCTCCCTGAGCAGTAGTGAAAATGGGGATGAGCCAGCTTCCTGCAGTTGGTTTTGGTTTCCCTTCACCTGCCAGAAACTTGTGATAACAATTGCTTGAGTCTCCGGTGCTGAGGGGTTCCAGGAGCAAGGTCGGGTGGGGTGGGTTATGAACAGAGATATAACCAGGACAAGGTCCTTGCCTTCGAATAGCCCGAGGCCCGCCCTCTGATTTGGCACCTGCATTACCGAGAATCTCAAGGAGAAGTCTGGGGTGCTGAGTAGGAGTCGGGAGCAACGTTCCCTGGATATTCTCGGGAGAAAAAGATGCCAAGGCGGACCTGGAAGATGTCCTGGAGTAGGTGGCATGCATTCATTCATTGTACAAATGTTGAATGCCCACAATGTGCTACCTCCTGTTCAGAGATGAGCAAAAATCCTGCCCTTGCAGGATTCTCCAGAATTGGAGGTTCGCAGCAAAACAGCTCAGAGGGTCTTTCCAGCCAAGTGGGAAAGAGCCAAGGAGCTGTTATCTGGTATTGATCCCGCTGGCACCATTAAGTGCCGAGCAGTTTACATTAGTTATTTCATCTAATTCTCACAGAACCCTGTGAGCTAAGTCATAGACCCCCATTTTACAGGTGAGGAAATTGAGGCTCAGAGGGAACCGCTCAGTTGCCAGGGTCACCCAGCAGGCAGGGAAGGGGCGGGATGTGAGTCCAGGTGGATAGGGTTCCCACCTGCAGGTCCCTTCAGTGGCCTCTCTACTTTCATTTTCTGTTCCTCTGAGTCAGATGATGCCCCGCTGGGCCTTAGGAAAGAGCTGTGTGTCTTTGCTTGGGTTTCCACAGTCTCAGGCCTGGGGAAAGTTTTGGCAGAACTCACCTGTAGCAGATAAAGCCCAAGTGTGCCCAGTATTAATAAGTCAGGAAGTGTCCATGCCACCGCTTCTCCATTCAACCTTGGCCTTCATTGCTGCCAGAGTCACAGGTATTAGTGGAACTAGAAACTTGGAGTGGCAGATGCTTCCCAGATATGTGAGGTAAAAGATAAGTGAGGGTCTTAGACTCTGGGCGGAAGCCATTTGTTGGTGTGAATAGAGATGGAGTATGAGCTGAATGGGGGAGAGGAGTGTGCTTATATATTGGGGGGCAGGTAAAGTTCAGGTGGTCCACAGTGTTAAGGGACCCCTCCCCAACTGTGGATGGGCTTTGGGAAGCTTTCTCTCTGCCTTTGTTTACACTAGGGTCTCTCAGCCTTGTCACCATTGACATTTTGGGCCAGATAATTTTATTGTCGGTTGTTTATGAGCATCCCTGGCCTCTACCCACTAAATGCCAGTAGCATCCCCATTTGTGACATCCAAAATTGGTTGTAGACCTTGCCAAGTGTCCTCTGGTGGGGGGCAGTGGCTAAAGTTGCCCTTGGTATAGAACCAGAGGTTATACCCATTCCATGTTCTAGAGGATATGGCCTGCCCTTGAATGTCTTTGAGTCTTTAAATCGTTCCCCCACCAAAAGAAGTCTGTTGTCCCACAGAATGGACCCCGAAAGGGAGAGGGTTCCTTGATCAAATACATTTGAGAAGTACTGCGTGCTATGGGCTCACATCCTGGAGATTCATGGCACACAGTGGCATATTAAAGACTTGGGAAGTCCTGCCATAGGGAAATCTGATTAGCCTAGTGTTTCCCAATGCATTCGACCACGGGACCCTTTTCCTGTAGTACTACTAACCTTGCCTGAGGCACACTGTACACATTTGCTCTGATGGGGCCCTCAGCCTTGGGGCCTCTCCCCTTCTCTGCAGGGAGGGCTCCTTTTATTCTGCATGGCCCAGCTCAGTGTCACCTTCCATGAAGCCTTCCTGCTGTCCCCTTGTCCCCTTCCCTGCTGTGTCTCCACACATTGGCCACATAGTCACACCCTTGCTTCCTCCATTGCTGCAATGAAGTTCTGGAGGACTGGGCCCTGCCTTGGTCAGGTGTTAATAGAGGATGCTCTGGAAGGGGCTGTTGGGAGAACTCAGTGACGTCCAGGTGACTGGGCTGCTTTTCTAGGAAGCTGAGTCCCTTCCGTTCCCTAGTTTCTCTGATTGTTGTGAGACTTCTGCTTTGCTGTGGTCTGTCCGAGCCATCTCCCTTCCCTCACCCTGGGGTGGAGGGGTCTGACAGGCACAGGGCGATGTCTCTGTTGCCATGAGCCTGGTGGGGACACACCGTCATGCTGGACCCTCAGTGGATGCTATGGAGGGAAGGGGGCGGGGTGTTAGGGCCTTGTGACTCTCTAGGAAAAGGATTAGAGGATGCTTTCAGGACAAAAGACTCCCAAGAGAGCTGACTCCCACGTTGTAACACCTGGAAGCAGTGACCTTCATCTTCCCTTCACCTAGCACCGACATCGGTGTGTGGGGCTAATACCCGATAAGTCACTTAAAGCACCGAGCACCAGGCCTGACACATGCTGAGTGCTCAGTAAATGGGGGCTCTGCTTTGGGACTTAGGGCAGCTTGTGCTGGGGTGGGGAAGGCAGCTGGAGTAGGGGAGCCCTGGCTCACTGCCCCTCACTCTGTCCCTCAGGAGCTGGAGGATCTTCAGAAGAAGCTTCCCTGGTACCTGGGGAACCTGTTCAGCGAAGACACCAACGTCCTGGTGTGGCATGCACTCCTCCTGCCCGTGAGTGTCCCTGGGATGGGTGACTTAGGCCGGCGTCCTGGGCGGGGATGGGTAGGACTGGGCAAGAATTTTCCCTGCCTTAGAGTCCTTTTTTTACTGCCTTTCCGCATTTGGTAGAGGGGGGTCTCTCTCTGGATTGATTGTGTCCCAGTTTGAGGCAGAAGAAGCTAAAAGAATTTTGGTCTTAGGAGGCAACCCCTTCCTCAAACCAGTAGCCACCAAGCCCACCACAGAAATTTCAGCAAACAGTTTCCAAAAAAAGAAAAAAAAATCTCTCTTTTTGTAGCTTAATTTGTTTTTAAAATTTATTTATTTATTAACTATATTTTCCAGTGGCAGTTTACATGCAATATTATTTCGTATTGGTTTCAGGTGTACGGCATAGTGGTTAGAGCAGGAGATCATATGCTTTACAAAGGGCTCCCCTGGCATTTCCAGCGCCCACCCAGCACCACACACGGTCGCTGTAGTGTCACTGACTGTGCTGCCCACGCTGCACCTCACATCCCCGCGACTATTCAGCAACCACCCACCTGCACTTGTCCATCCCTTCACCGTTTTCACCGGCCCCCTAATCACCCTCCCCTCTGGCAGTCATCAGTCTGTTCTCCGTGTCTGTGAGCCTGTTTCAATTTTGTTTGTTTGTTTTGTTCTTTAGATTCCACATATAAGTGAGATCATATGGTATTTGTCTTTCTCTGACTTATTTCACTTAGCATAGTGCCTTCTAGCTCATCCATGCTGTCGTAAATGGTGAGATTTTATTCTTTAAAAAAAAAAAAAAAAAAGCCCTGACCAGTGTGGTTCTCTTGGTTGGACTTGTCCCACAAAAATGAAAGGTCACTGGTGTGGTTCCCGGTCAGGGCACATGCCTGGGTTTCGGGGCCAGTCCCTGGTTGGGGCGTGTACGAGAGGCAACAGATTGATGTTTCTCTCTCACTGTGAGGTTTCTCTTCCTCTCTTTCTCCCTCTCTTCCTCTCTTTCTAAAAGTAAATAAACCAAGATTTCTTGGACCTTTGTTAAGGGATGGGGGAAACTTCCTGTTTCCCATGGTGGTGGTGGCGGAGGGAAGTTTCCCAGTTTATGCCGACCTCCACGTGTTCTGCAGAGGTTTGTTACAGCAAGACGGTCAGTGAAGCTGACAGCTCATTCGCAAGAGGCGTCGGCAAAAGGTTGTCAGAATAAAAGCACATTTCATCCGATATCCTGGAGGGGTCAGGGAAAATGGACACAAAAATGTCGGTTAATTATATTGGAGTAGTGTTGTTCAGATTTTGAAGTTCAAAGAGAAGAAGCTAAAGGTCATTTAGCCTTCTGAGAGGCCTCACCCTTGGCCTTGTCTCTGCCCGCCAGGTCCCAGCCCCATCTCGTTATCAAGGACATAAAAGCTGACACATTCCCTCTGCCCAGTGGTTGCTCCTGCCTCTGACGTCAGACACACCCAAGACAATTAAGGCTTCGGTTCCACCTTTTGCTTAGGAACAGGAGCTCTCTTAAAGCCTTGACTGTGCTTAGGTACATATGCCGTTCTGGCGGTCTCTGCCGTGGCTTCTCTCTCACTAAGGTCCTGAAAAGGTCTGGAGCCTGGCACCAGCTTGGACTGGGGCACCAGCTCTGTGCTGGGCTCACCCAAGCTCTGGGGTCCCTCTGCCTTGGGGTGTAGAGCAGTGTTCGTGTGTGGAGACGTAGAGTCAACAGCTCTGGGTTCCTGCCCCAGAACTGCCAATGTGGCCCCGGGCAGGTGACCTACATCCACTGAACTGGAGTTTCCTCACCTGGAAATGGAGGTGCTGACAGGCAGGAGTTTTCATAATACTTATCGTAATAGCTGACACATACGTGGTGCTTGCCATGTGCCAGGCCTTGCCCTGAGCACTTAGTGTGAATTAACTCATTTAATCTTCACGTAAGCCCTATGATTAAGTAATAGTGTTCCCATATGGAAGCCCAGAGAGGTTAAGTTACTTACCTAAGGTCACACAGCCAGTGAGTAGCAGAGCCAAGATTCACACCCAGGCAGCGTGGCTCCAAAGCCCATGTGACCCCTGCACTCGGCTGCACGGGCTAACGTGTGTCATGCCCTCGCACAGAGCAGCACAGAGTAGGTGCTCAGGGAAGCCTTTAGGTTGCTCACACTCTGGAGGATTTCCTGCTGGGTCCTAGCAGCCTCCAGCCCTTGGTCCCTCAGACCCTGCAATCTTAATGTTTTGAATCATGGGAAATACACATAACAGTATTTCCCATCTTAACCATTTTTATGTGTTTGGTTCAGTGGCACTAAATGCATTCACATTCTTGTGCAGCCCTCACCACCGTCCCATCTCTTGAACCCTCTCATCTTCCCAAAACTCTGCACCTGTGAAACCCTCACTCCCCATTCCTTCTTCCTTCTAGTCCTTGGTAACTAGTTTTCCAATTCATGTCTGTGCATTTGACTATTCTAGGTACCTCACAAAAGTGGGATCATTCAAAATGTGTTTTTCTTCGTCCAGCTTATTTCAATGAGCATAATGTCTTCAGAGTTTGTCCATGGTGTGGCATTGTCAGAATTTCCTTCCTTTTAATTTTTTTTTTTAAGATTTTATTTATTTTTAGAGAGGGGATGGGAGGAAGAAAGAGAGGGAGAGAAACATCAATGTGTGGTTGCCTCTCAAGTGCCCACTGCTGGGAACCCAGCCCACAGCCCAGGCATGTGCCCTGACTGGGAATCGAACTGATGATCCTTTGGTTCACAGGCCAGTGCTCAATCCACTGAGCCACGCCAGCCAGGGCCAGAATTTCCTTCCTTTCTAAAGCTGAATAACATCCCATTGTGTGTCCATGCCCCACGTCTGCTTGTACATTCATTCACAGATGGGTGAGTTGTTTTGACCTCTTGCTATTGTGAATTATGCTGCTAGGGTCTCGGGTATACAAATAAATACCTGTTTGAGTCCCTGCTTTCAGTTCTTCTGAGTGTATGCCCGAAGGTAGAATTGCTAGGTCATGTGGTAGTTCTTAATTGTTTGAGGAACCTCCATACAGTTTCCTGCAGTGGCTTCCCTAGTTCACATCCTCAACAGCCTGAGTTCTTACGGTTTCCTCACTCTCCCTGTTTCCTCGCCCCAGTAACCGTGTTCTCCTATGTTTGCGAACAGAGGGTGTGCCGATACGTGTCCTTCTCCTCTTTCATGGATGGGCTGTGGAGGCAGACAGGTGAAAACAAATAGTGTGTGATCTCAGTTACACGAAGAATCTAAATATAAAAAACAAAAAAACCCCCAAACTCCCAGGAGAAGAGATCAGACTTGGCTTACCAGAGTCAGAAGGTGAAGGGAAATGAAGGAAGGTGGTCAAAACGTACCAATGTCCAGTGACGAGGTAGAAATAAGTCCTAGGGATGTAACACACAGCATGGTGTCTGGAGTTAACACTGCCGTGTGAGGTACAGAAAGTTGTTACGGGAGTACAGTTCTCATCACAAGGAGAACACACTTTTTCTTTTTACTGTATCTGTATGAGAAGATGTGTGTTAGCTGAACCTGTTATGGTAATTATTTCACAACATATGGAAATCAAACCATTATGCTGTACACCTTGAATTTATACAGTGATTCAATTATTTCTCAATAAAACTGGGAAAAAGTTAATTACCAATAAAAACAAAAGCTGAGGTGGTCGTTGGAGCTCATGTAGTCAAATTTTACCCATTTTTCAAATGAGGAAACTGAGGCCTAGAGATGGGAGGCCCTGGCCCAGGTTACACAGCAAGAGTCAGGATCAGACTTTTAGGACTCCTCCTCCCCCTGGTTCTTTTGTGATTCCAGTCCCCCACTGATCCATGAATGCAGGCGTGGGGTAGAGGAGGCCTGGGCCCGCCCCCCCCGGCCCCACCCGGGTCCGGGCAGGAAAGGGGGTAACCAGACTGAGTGTCCAGGAGAAAAACATCTTTTCAGGGCAGCCCTGCCTCGGAACACAGCTTCCCCTCTTTTCTTGCACAGGAGACGCCACCCTACAACCTCAAGGCCTTCCACCTGCGTATCAGCTTCCCCAAGGAGTATCCGTTAATGCCCCCCACGGTGACGTTCACCACCCCAATCTACCACCCCAACGTGGACCCCGAGGGCCGGGTGTGCCTACCCATCATCAGCAACCAGCACTGGAAGCCCTACACCAAGGCCTATGAAGGTGGGCGTGGCAGTGCCTGCCACGGGACCGATGCGGGTGGCGGGGGTGGGGGGGGTGGGGCGGTTACAAGGCTGATTGGGAGTTAGAAAAGTTTGAAAGAGAGGAGATAAAATGCATGGGTCTCAGCGGAGCCAGGGCATCAGATAGGAGGGATGCGCCCTGAGACCCCCGCTCCTGCCTCTGGTCCCACACCTGGGCAGGCGTGCCAGCACGTGAGTTGGGAGTCGAGGGCAGGGCTTGGAAAAGAAGGCGGCTGCTGCGTCCGTGCGTGCGTGCGCGCGCCTTGGTGACGTCTCCGCTCCTTCTCAGGGCTCCGCACCCTAACTGACCGTTGAGGGGATTGACCCAGGGATGAGAATCCATATCACTTAGTTAAGCCCTCATGCCTTCATCCCCCAACTTCACGTAGTCCCCCGAGCAACCCCACCAGAGGGTGCTCCCAGTCGCCCCATTCACCAGCCGAGCACACTGACTGAGACACGGAGGGGTGAAGCGCTTCCCTACCTACCGCCTGGCAGCTGGCCAGTGGCTACTGGGGATGCAAAGTGGGCTTGGCTGACAGGCGCGGTGCTGGCCAGCAGGACCCAGGGCTGTGATGGGGGAGTGTTGTGTGGCTGCACAGTCCTGCCCCCTAGTCAGTCTCTAGCCGCGTGTGGCTGTCGAGCACACAAAATGTGGCCAATGCAACCGAGGAACTGAGTTCCTAACTGTGGTTAATTTTAATTAATTTAAATTTAGATAACTGTCTGCGGCTGGTGGCTTCAGTCAGTGTGCCTCTGGATCAGCTGAGAAGTCTTTAGCCCCAGCAACAAGGGTCCTGGGCTGAGGGGTGGGGTGGGAAGCGCTCCTCGGCTGACCTTCATGGGGGCTGTGAAGCTCTCATCTCAGAACTGTGTGCCCGTGCGCATGCGCAGGTGCTGGGGAGCCGCCCGGTCTCCACCGGGTTCCCACGGGCATCTGGGAAAGATGAGGAGCCACCTGACTGTAGCGGTTTCCAGTCATTAGCCTCAGAACCCTTTTCCCCAAATTAAGTTTCTTTGGAATCCTAATATCAAGCAGGAAAGGGAGGCGTTCTTATTGAAAAGGGAGTGAGCCCCAGATATCCCGCAGGTCTCACCATGGAACATAGTTTGAAAGCCACTGGCAGAGCCAGTCAGGGCTTTCGGCCTCTTCAGCCAGGACTGTGCGAGGCATTCAATCTGGTGGTAGAGTCATCCTGAGAGATGGAACTCCCTGGGGGTCCCCCAAGCAGTGTGCATAGAGTTTCAGGGGGGTCTGGGACTGGGCAGTCATCACCCCCTTCCCAGGATTTTTCTCTCCGTCCTGATGTCCTGACCTGGCCTCTCTCCCCAGTGCTGGAGGCCGTCAATATGCTGGTGAACAGGCCAGACCCGGGGGAGCCTGTGCGCATGGAGCTCGCTGACCTGCTAAAGCAGAACCCGGAGCTGTTCTACAGGAGCGCGGAAGAGCACACCCTCCAGTTTGGAGAGCAGCGACCCTCCTAACTCTGGTCTGCCCCACTGTGGGCGTGACGGACGGACACACCGCATGGACTGGGGCCAGAGCCCCTTGGTGGCCCATGCCCTGCTATTTTACGTTTGTTTGTTTTTTTTCCTCCTTAAGTTGTTAGTCGTTAGTTGTGTGTGTGGTATGTGCAGACCAGTTCCAGGTTCACCTGGCCACAGGTGTGCTTTCCCACTCCCTTTCTCTGCCCCAGAGCCGGGCATGTTAGGTTTGCAGAATCACAGGCCAGCTGTCCAGTGTTCTCGGATGTGAGGGTCCTGATCTTACTAGTGGCTCTATCTTGAGGTCACCTTCCAGGCCAGCTCACAGGAAATGAGCCCAGCAGCCAATCAGAATCCCCGTGGGGGCCTGCGGGGGGGGGGGGGGGGGGGCGGGGGGAGGGGGAGGGGGGGCGGGGGGGCGCGACAGGCAGGGCTGGGAGGCGAGGCACTTGGCCAGAGTCACTTGCGATTGGGTGATTCATTTGATTACATGATTGAAATCAGCCAGGCTGCTGATAAATGTGTGTCGATTTTGGTGTTAAACCTTTTCTTTTCCACTGATGCATCACTAAGCGAAGAATCTGATCTCCATGCCGGAAATCTGACTACTTGGTTTCCAAACCACTTGCAGTCTCGTTAGGTTGCCCCTGCCTGGGGCCTGGGCCTCAGGCAGGGTCCAGTGGCCTCTCCAGCTTCCAGTCCAGGGGAGTCACGGAAATCCTGTGTTAGTCCAGCCATAAAAGCCACAGGCGAGCTGTGGAGTCTGGCTCAGTGTTCATGGACGGGAGGGAGTGGTTTCATCAAAGGAGAGGAGGCTGGGAACTTAGCTGCCGTCTAATAAAGGTGTGACCCAGCTTCTCATGAGCCGATAGCCTGGAGCCTCAGGTAAGCCCAGCCATTGTGGGGCCACGAAGGACTGGGCCATCCTGGCCAGAGGGGCCGTCAACATCTCCACAGGGGTAACGTCCCCATTTTATAGATGAGGCACTGGAGGTACGGGGCCAGCGGTGGACTGCCCAGTCACCTCCTGCCTCAGTGCAGCACTGGCTGGTGTTTGTTTTTGTGTTTTTCCTGGGGTGTTCTTATCAGCACAACATTCTCCAAACGGCTGAGAAAGCCAGACAGGAGTGTTCACAGGATGTTACCATCAGCTCAGTAGTGGGCAGTGGATAAACAAAAACAAGCCACACCTGCCTCCAGAGTTGGAGGGATTAGCTTCACCCGAAGGAAGAGCTTTCTGGGTGCCATGGTTCTGAGCCACTGGGAAACCACCCGCACTTATTTATTCACTTAGGTATTTGTTTAGAGCGGAGAAGTGGGGAGAAAGAGAGGGAGAGAAACACTGATGAGAGGAGAATCGATCGGTGGCCTCTTGTACATTCCACGACCAGAGACTGAACCCGAAACCCAGGCATGTGCCCTGACAGGGAATCGGACCTAACCAGGCAACCTTTCGCTTTGTGGGATGACACCCAACCATCTGAGCCACATTGGTCAGGGCCTACCTGCTTTTAAGAGGCAGAAATGAGGGGTATCTTTGAGTTAAGTTTGGGTGGGATTTCTAAAGCATCTTCTACTCCAGCCCCTGCCCTGGGACCTCTAACCTGGAAGGAGTGTGGAAAGAGGGACTAGAATTGAGAAAAATGCTGCCAATGGCTCAAAATGTGAGATTTGGCTTTATTCTTGGCCACTGCTTATTGAACACGTATGTGACAGATACCAGGCAAGGCTTTTTGCTCATTTCATTAGTTCATTGAACGCTCACGGCATCCCCATCAGGTTTGAAATCCTTTTATCACAATCAGACGGTAAACAGGTTCAGAGAGGTTAACTCACTGGCCCAAGGTCACACAGCTGGTTAGTGGTGGGACCCAGGCCATTGTCCTTCCCAGATGCCTTTCATGCTGTAGGAAAGATTGTGTCAGGTGAGGAAATGCCAGGTGAGGAATCCTGGCAGCTGTGGTTTATTATCCCAGAGTAAGAGGTTCCTGGGTGGGCGAGGGAAGCAGCCAGACAGGATTTTGCAAAAGTACTTTCAATGCAGTTAAGACTGAAGCCATCTGCCTTAGCCCAGGGCCTGGCTCTCTTGTCTCTGGGGTAGAAGGGAGCCTCGGGGCTGTGGCTGGTCAGCTGGGCACCCTGGCCACCTCTGCCCACGGGGTCAGTCAGCTCCTCATTTCTTCTTGGTCTTCACCAGTCCCTTCTGCACGAGGCTGCGATACAGCTCTTGGATGTAGGTGTAGACGCACTTGGAGTCGGGCACTGCCAGCCGCACCATGTCATCCACCTCCAGCAGCTGCGCACAGTCGGCCAGTTTCCTGAGAGGCAGAGGTGGGGCGGGGTGAGGAGCAGAGCGGAGGTGAAGAAGGTGGGAGCTGGGGGAAGCGGTGGGTGGGGGCAGCCCTGCCAGGATGAATCGTGTGTGTTGGAGACAGGAGGTCATCTAGGCCAGCTCTCCCATTGCACAGACAAGGAAACTGAGGCCCTGACAGAGTCAGAACTCACACTTGGCTGATTCCAAAGCCCACGTTTTCGTTGCATTGTGGCCTCACGTGGGGCGGGCCCCTGTGGTCTCTCTCTCCCTCTACCTTAACCCATGCCTCCCACCTGCTCCTTTCGTGCCTGTCCTCTGGAAGGCCAGGGCCCTCAGCAAGAGCTGAAAGGACAGAACTGCCATGCTAGCTAGAGTGCTGCCCTAGGGCTGCACCATCCCCACTGTCATCCAGCCTCTGTGTGTTTACTGAGGGAGCTCGGCACTGAGTGACACCCAGGCTTGCCTGCTCTCGCGGTCACTGCCATTCTCGTGGCAGCAGACAGACAGTCATAAAAGAGATGGGCCGTCAGATGGTGAGAGGCGCTATGGAGGAAAGTAAGGCAGAGGAGGGAGCCAGGGCACGTTCCTGTGTCAGCGGCATTAAAAACGGTGCTGGGGGAAGGAGGTCTCTCCAAGGGAGTGAACCATGCATGTATCTGGGGAAGAGGATTCCAGGCGGCAGAAATAACGCGTGCAAAGGCCCCGAGGCAGGCGTGCTTGATGTGTTTGAGGAGCAGCACGGAGGTCAGCAGCAGGTCCTCTTTTTCTAGCCTCTCAGCTGCTCTGTGGGGCAACGTGCCACTCCTGGCTTTGCTAAGGCTGATAATCCGAGCTGCCTACTGTCAGGGACTTGCCACTGGGCGCCAAGTGCTTTGTCGAGTGTTTCCCTTTAAATGGTCTCATTTACACCCCGCCCCGCCCCACCCCCACCAGCAGAAGAAGAACTGGAGGCTCAGAGCATTTTGGTGATTTGCCCAAGGTCAAAGTGAGTGACATAGCTGGGACTCAACCCCAGGCCGGCCAGGCGCCTCTGGCATCCTTGCCCTGCAGCCAGGCCTCAGCAGCCCCAGCCTGCCAAACCACCGTGGGTGCTAGCAAGAGGAGAAACCAGGGTCCCAGTGGAAATCCTCTCTTGGGGCTGAGACAACTGGCCCGAAACCCAAGTCAGATTGGCCTGGGTGCTGGGGGGAGGAGCACAGACTGGAGGGTTTTGAAGAATGGGACAGGCTCCAGTGCAGTGACCTCGGCTCTGGGTGTGGATCCTGCACGCCTGCACAGGACGGGGGGGCGGGGCAGGCTCCTCTAGAAGCACCAGGGATCTAGCCCACTGGGGGCGCCAGCACTGGCAGCTCCCCTCTGTCATCCTAGGAAGCCCCTGGAATCAGAGGAGAGTTCTGGAATGGGGCAATAAACCTTCCTTGGCACACTTAATCTTCACCCTAAGCCATCAGGGTGCTTAAGTCAGCTGCTGAGGGTCACAGAGCTAAAGAGGAAGGAGGCAGGATTCAAATTCAGCACCTCAACCTCCGTTCTCCACCCTCCACCGGCATGGTCCCCACGGCATCCTCTGCTTTTCACGGCTGCCTGATGCCTCCTGTCAGCCGGTCATCATTGCTGATTGGTCCTCCTGCCTTCCTGTGGCTCAGCCTGGCTTGGAGGAGGACAATGGCCCACGCCCCACAGGTCAGGGACATCTGGTCAGGGCAGAGCGGCACGCCCTTCTGACGATCACTGGGAGCTCCCAGTCCTGACTAGGGGCTCACTTTCAGATCCCAGTTCCGCCACAGTCCTCCTGTGCGGCCCTCGGGTGTCACGGACCATCTCTACCTGTGTCCACACTCTGGGGTTGCTGCGAGGGTTAAAAGGGATAAGCCAAGGAAAGCACTTGGCAGAATGCTAATCACCCTCAGTTTGTGGGACTTGTCATCATCGTCAGAGGTGCTTCTGAGCCCAGAGCAGGACAGTGGTGCTCCTGACAGCGTCCCCATCAGGGCACTCATCCCTTCCCTTGGCCGGCTAATGTGAAACTGGACGCGATCTTGCGGAACATCATCTGGTGGTTTTCACATGTCACTCTTGGTGCCCTGGGGCCCGACGGATGTGCTTCAGGGACCCTCTTGGGAAGGGAGGTTGGGCGCTACACTCCAGGAACCCCCCCCCCCCCGAACCTAAAGAGATCCCCCTTTAATCTGTTTTATACGTTGGGCACTCACTTAATATTTTACTTTCGGAATCTGTGGGGGTGGAGGGTGGGGAAAACCCCACCCATTGGAAAAGCACGGATCAAGATCCAGTCCTCTCGTTTTGCTGATGGGGACACACAGGCCCAGAGAGGGGAAGGTTGTCCCAGGCTTCCCTGCAAGTTGGCGGCCAGGCCTGGACAGGACCAGAGGGCTCAGCCCCCCAGGCCAAGTGCTGCTGACATCCCCAGTGACTTCTCTGTCCAGGGCTGTAGGCACACCCCCGGGGGTTGCCCTCATGGCTGCACCCTCTACACAGCCCTTTCTCCACCAGGTGGCTCAGAAGCTTCTCCCTGGGGCCGGAGAGAACGGGCACTCCTGGCACCAGCTCTTCAGGAGCCCCGAGGCCAGAAGGGATTCAGGCTTGGTGGGTAGCGATGGAGGAGTCTGGCTAAGGCTGGCTTTCATGCTTTTGTGGAAGCAGGGCCTCCCCCAGCGCCCCTCCACCCAGCCGTCATGTCCTTGCCTCTCAGGTTCTTCCTCGGGCCACACTGTTCCTCACACCCTTCCTGCCCTTCCAGTACCATCCATCTCTCCATCCCACTGCCACTGAGCTGTACGGGTCTCAGCGATAAAACCCCCAGGTTCCAGAGTGAATAATAATGAACAGTTGTGATATCGTTCATTAAAATACAGGCACAGCAGCTAACACATTTTTGAAGTCTTTCTCTGCAGGTTTGGCCCTGTCGTAGGAGCTTTACTTAGTTATCTACTTAATTCTCACAATAGCCTTGCCGAAGAGGAAACCTCATGCCCATTTTAAAGATTGGAATATGGAGGCTCAGGCGGGCACAGAAGCCTGCCCAAGATCACACAGCCAACAAATGGGTGATCCCATTTGTTGACCCCAAATCTCTGCACCACCCTGTCCAAAACAGCAGACCCACCCTCCTCTTCCCTGTCCCTCACCCTGCAGGTATCGGCATCGTCTTTACGGTGCCTATCCTCTGGCTCGGTATTTGGTACAGGTGTGTGTTGGTGCTCTCTCTCCCTGTGGAGTATAAGCCAAGCACATGGCAGGGATTTTGCCGATTCACCCACTGCTTTGTCCTGAAATCGTTCCTGGCCAGCACCATCTGTCCGTTGGCTACACCAACATGTGGCCACACATTCTGCGACCCCTGTGGGTGCAGCCTTCACCTTTGGGACCTAAGCCCCGAACCCCCGTGGCTCTGCTGTTCTGGCCATGGCTTACTCTGCTGTGGAGAAGGCCAAGGCGAAGTTGTGCCGGCGCTTTGTAGGGTCCAGCTCAGCGTAGTCGAAGGCATCAGGGAAGAACTTGTGGATGAGGGCACAGAAGGCCATGCCGCTGCTCCAGCTCGACGAGAAATTCTGAATGTCCACGTGCTGTGGGCCGGCGGGGAGGGGCGGCCTTGGTGAGCCGCTGGGGGCCCGGACTTGGCCCCCATGAGCCTCCCACCCTCTGAGCTTTGCACCACTCAGACCCTCCCCCGCACTGCTGCCCTGGGGGGGGGGTCCCTGTCCCCTTGCCCACCTCGTAGTTTCTCGTCATGGCCCGGCACCACTCCAGGAGCATGTTCTTGACACCGCCGATGGCGGCCCCGGCGGCCTTAGTGTTCCGGAACAGAGCCGTGGGGCCCGAGGCTGCCCTGTGAGGGGAGGGGTGGGGAAGGCCAGCCAGAGAGGTGGGAGGCCACCAAGGGTGCCATCAGGGAGCAGCCCCAGTCCCTGTGTGGCTCCTGCCCTCCCACCTGGGCCTGATGGCTGGGCTGATCCCACCCCCATCAGGCCTCCCTCGGGCAGACCCAGGGTCCCCGGGAAAGCCTAGCCCGGCCGGCTTCGTGCTGCGTCCTACCCGCCAAACTTGTCCACGATGGCTTTGCGGTTCTGCGCGTGGACCCCCCGGGGCCGGGCAGGGGTGGACACCCTGCGTTCCGGTGCCTTCTCCTTCTTCTTCTCCTGGGAGGGAGGGGGCTCCGTGGGACTCGGGGGCGCCTCGCTGGGTGAAGACTCACTGCATGGAAAGGTTCAGAGACCAGTGAGGGCCTGGGACCCGCCAGTACAGGGCACAGGGCGGGGTGGGGCCGGCTGGGGGTTGGGCCCCTGCAGTCTGAGGGCAGGCACAGTCAGGGCGCCCACTCTCGGCAGGCGGGTCCGCTGTGCCTGGCTCTGGGAGGGGCTGGAAGGAAAAATGAAACTCAGTCTACCTTGGGGAGCCAGTGGTGCTCTGGAGGGATGTGAGGATAGAACTAGGGTGAGTCTGAGGTCTGACCTGAGTTTGAATCCTGGCTTTGCCTCTTATTTGCTGTGTGATCTGGGCACCTGTCCTGTGACTTCTCTGAGCCTCAGCTTCCTCCTCTGTAAAATGGGGGCAGGAACACACCTACTGGGCAAGAGGGCTCTAAGGCTTGAGGAAGGTGGGGAATGTAGAGCACCCCTCGGAGCCCGTCACATGCATGCCTGAGCGCTCGGTGAGTATTTGGTGACCCTTCTCTAAGAAAGTCACACACAGGTGCATCTCACCTGGAAAAGAAGCTGCTTCTAAGGACTACAGTTGGGCAGCGGCGAGAATGAGGCTCTCATTTCACCCAGCACCTGCAGGGCACCAGGCACTGCGCTAAGTGCTTTACACACAGCACGTCTCCGCCTCACAATGACCCTATGAGGGAGTTACAGTTACCGCACCCGCTTCCCAGATGAGGCCTTTGGGGGGGGGGCGAAGTGACACGGCCAAGGTCACACAGCTGGCAAGAGGCAGAGTCGTCCAAACTCAGTGGATTCAGAGCTCATGCTCTGTGGGCGGAGCTGGCACCATGGAAACGTGCTGAGCGGCCAGATGAGGGCCTCTATAAGACTCTATAAGACCTGTCGGGGATGCCTAGAGGCCAGCGATGGAGGGAGGGAGGCGGACCAGGTGTGCTGCATGCTCCCTTGGCCCTAAGATCTGCCTCCTTCAGTTTCCTGGGCTCTGCCTTGGGAAGGGGCTGAATGCCAGGAATCCTGGGATTCCTGAGATCAGGTGAGGGTAGGTTTTGAAGGGAGCAGGTGTTAGGGGGAGTGGGAGCCTGGGTCCCGGGGTTGGATATTACCTGGCTGAGGGGCTGGTCTCTCCCGAAGCTGCTGTGGTGTCTGGGCCCAGCCCATCTGCAGGAAAGGAGCAGGGGGAGGGAAGTGGGGGGCTACTGTGACTGCACGCCCCTCAGGGGAGCCCCTACAGCAGCCCCTGGGCTCCTGGCTCTCACTCACCTGGGCTGAGGCCTTGACCCTCCTCCGTGGGGCTCTCGGGCCACTCCTCGGGGGAGCTGGGAGTCGCCCCTGCCCCTTCCTCCGACTCTCTGTCCATGCCCGGGTCCTGCTCTTCACTGGGCCCACCTGAGTGCTGGAACCGACACGATCTGAGCTCACAGTCACGCAAGCGCCTGCCCAAGGCTTTGTGAGGACTTCAGAATGATCTGGAAGACAGCCTGGGATGGGGAGTGTGGCAGCCCCCGCCCCGGCTCTTGCTATTTGGGGGGGGAAGGCTGGACTTTCCCCAGGAACTAAAGCAGAGGGGCCTTGCTTCCCCGGGGGCAGGGGACTCCGAACACTGGTGGGGCCTCCTCCCCCCTCTCCTCTGTCCCACTCACCACCTCCTCCTTCGTGTCCCTCTCCTGGGGTGCAGCCTTGGCCTCATCTCCCGGGGTCACCTTCTTTGCAGAGTCCGACTTGGCCTCTGGGGCTCCGGCTTTCATGGGGGCTTCAGCCTCAGGCTCCCCTGTCTTGTTGTTCTCCTCCTGAGAGGCCGTTGTGGCCTCCTGCGCCCCCTCGGCCTGCTTCTGCTCAGCCTTGGCCTCATCCTCCACATCGGCTTTCTCCCCGGATTCGGGCTTGGCTGCTTTCTCCTCAGCCTTCTGCTTCTCAGAGGCCACCGCCATCTCTTCTTTTCCCTCCGCCTCCTTGGGTTCAGATTTGGTCTCTTCTTTCCCATCAGTCATCTCCTGAGGAGCCTCTTTGGTCTCTTCCTTCCCACCACCCTCCTCTGGAAGTCCAGCCTCCACTTTGGACTCCACCTTGACCTCATCCAATCCACCGGCTTCCCCCTGGAGTTCTGCTGAGACGCCGTCCTCTGCTGGGGCTCCTTCCCGCCTTCCCGCCTCAGACGGAGGCCCCTCTGTGCTGGTGCTCTCTGAGGTGACTTTGGGCCCCACCTCTGATGAGGCTTCACCTGCTGCCGGCGTCCCCGGGGTCCCTGCGGCTGGGGAGGCAGAGGTCCCATCCTCAGAGGGCTTCCCTTCCTTCTGCTCCATCTCTGGGAAGAGGAGACAAGCAGGCCTGGTCATGCCCCCTCCTGCATGAGGGGACAGCCCGACCTCAGACAGCAGGACCTGGAGTCTGGGGGCCTGGGGTTCAGTTCTGGACCCTTCCTACTTGGACATGTGACTGGGGCACCCACTTCCCTGGGGTGTGAGGGAGGGGCAGGGCGCTGCTTGCCCAGAGGTGCGGTGTGGGCCCCTCTGCCTTCATGCTGGGTGGTGTTCACCTACCCGCCCTCTGCCCTCTACAGGTTGTGGCTTGGGCTTTCATGAACATTAGGTCACATAATACCTTGTTGGTGATTTTTACCACTTTGTGCTTAAGCTGTGGAGTGGTTACAATTCCGTACTAGCATTCTGGAACACGGTGGGGATAGCTAGCCCCAGGCGCAGGGCCCAGAGCAGGCAGGCGCGCACAGACAGAATTCAATAATACTGTTTTGTCTCCATAGTTTCTGACTCTAATAGTGATCTAACTTAGAAACATGTATTGAGTTGAAAAGTAAGTTAGGTCAGAGGAAGACATTCAGGAAAGCGGAATGCAGATGGTACAGAGGAAGCTACATCCCAGAGGTGCAGTGGAAATGCCTGAGAGCTGGGAATGCCTGGGCCGGCCGGTCCCCGGGCCTCCGCCAGCTCACGGAAGGTGGGCCTGGGCACGGGGGAGCTTCCTTTGGTGGAGAGTGGAAACTACTCTCTCTGACCTCTGCAGGGAAACCTGGTCCTCCAGCTGCCTGGGGTCCGTGAGGAGATTGGGGTTTCCTAGTCAAGTACCGTATAAATATACTCTGGGATCTACAATAGCAGGTGGATGGCGGGGGGCGGGGCCAGCTCCCTCATCTCCCTGCCCCTCTCGGGGGTCTGTTTACCGAGAGCACAGTCCCCAAATAGTGTTCAGGGCATGACTCAGGCAGCAAGAAAAGTAGACTCCCCTGTCACTGGCTAAAAATACCTCCTGCCCTTCACAGTGCCACGTTCTGGGTGATTGTACCCGGGGCACCTGGGTGATTGGGACAGAGGCAGGAAGACAGGCAGGAAAGGGCCAGGGCCCAGAGGGACCCAGAGGGAACAGAGGTTCCTGGGTTGTCCTGCTGCCAGACCAGGGTCCCAGGGTCCCTGAAGTTCATGCCCTGGATTCGGGCCACGTGCACAAAGCAACTGATTGATGTTTCTCTTTCACATAGATGATTCTCTCCTTCTCTCTCTCCCCCTCTCTTCCCCTCTCTCTAAAAATAAATAAATAAATAAATAAGAAATATACAACTTCATTAGCACTTAGGTACTCCAAGTAAAGAGACTTTAACATTGCTTAGCCTTATTTAACTCAGTTTTCCCCCAACTTCTTTGACTATGGGTTTTTTTTTTCTTTTTGCTTTCTTTTTTGCTGTTTTTCCTGAGGAGCCGCTGCCACCCCCTTGAGCAATGCCATGTTTAGCAGAAGAATGTATGGCCAACGCTGGTGTGAACGGCCCGCACGCCCCTTCCTGCCCTGCACTCTTGTTTGGATGGGGGTGCAGAGTAGTGGTGAAAGTCACTGATTCGGGAGTCTTCCTGCGATGGGATCCCAGCTCCCACTGTGTACTCCTTGTGTGTGGCCTTGAGCAAGCAACCTGCCTTCCTGGTGTTTTGATTTTTGGAGGTAAAAATAGGTCTCGCCACACAGGGACGGTGGAGGGTTAGGGAAGCCACGGCATAGGAAGCAGTTTGAGGCCCGCCCGGCGTGGAGGGAACACTCAGTACACAGCAGCTCATCCGGTGTAGGTTGGCCTCTGCCCAGCCTCGTGCCAGGTTAAAGCCCCGACCTGACCACGAGAGCTTTTAGTTGGACACACAAAGGCAAAGAGAGCTGAACGTTGGAAAGTTGATAACAAGCCCTTTTTAAACCTCAAAGTGCCATAGCAATTGGCTAAGACACAGCAAAGTGCTGCAACCATTTTCCCTTTGTCAACACGCTACACACTTAGGGGGGTGGAGGGGAAGGACAGGTGTACACACACACACACATGCGCATGCACACACCTCAGCTTTCCACCCTCCAGGCGTGTCACAAAGTAGACAAGGAGTGAGGAAACTCAGAACGCTCTGAAACCAGGATAACACCTCCCACTGCCAGCGGTAACGTCTCCAGAGCCAGAGCGGCTCACGGCTCACACAATGCCTCGCTTTACCTTGCTTGCTTGTCCCCCACTTTTTAACCCTTGGGAGCCTGTGTGATTGTTCCATTGGGCACATGAAAAACTTGAAGCTGGGGGCATTGAAGTCCCTTGGCTGAAATCGTAGGACAATGAAATGTCCAAACTGTACCTAGAACCCAAGTCTCCTGACAGCTAGCCCGGAGCCCATGTCGAAGATGCTGTTCCTACCAGGTCCGCAGCCAGGGCCCTTCCAAAGGCTCCAGCCCCGAGGAAGGGGCCCCCCACTGGTGGGGGGGGGGCAGTCAGGCATGGCTGAGGAGTTCAGCCCTCTCTCTTCCCCTCCTTCCTCTCCACTTTCCTTCCTCCTTCCTTCAGAAGCTTTCATACCACCCTGGTTTTGTGTCTGAAGCAGCGCTGCAGACAGCTCCTCTCTCCTCCCAGGAGCCCAGGTCCAAGCCCCAAATTGTGTAGACGGCATTTGATGGGTCTGCTGATACCTGTCAGACTCACTGAGACTCACTGTCACCCCCATCTGCCTTCCAGTGCTCTTGAGGCTTCCACCACCCCCCATCCCAGCTGGGCACCAGCCTCTGGAGAGGCCACTTAACTGCCTAGACAATCTGCCTCCCCACCCGACTGAACTGCTGAGCCTCTCTGCCCCACCAGGCCGCCTGCGCGGATGGCCACCTGCAGGCTTGTCTAGGTAATCTCAGGTTGCCCAACCCCCAGAGGCTGAGCTCGGGTATCTAAAGAGAGTTGACACCGTGGTAGAGAAAATTAGGAAGAAGCCTGGATTTCTCCAACTCCGGGGTCCTTCTTGGAGCTTCCCATCCTGGCAAGGTGGGAGAAGAGTTGACAGATGGAGGGAGGCCCTTAGAAAGGGACCCAGGGCTTGTCTTACCTGTGGGGCCTCTGCCTGGGGCGTTTGAGAGCTGTCTCCTTCTTCGAGCCGAGTGGCCTCACTCCTGGGCAGCCAGAGGCCTCTAGCCCCCAGCAGTTCTGTCCTTGCCCCCCCCCCCCACCTTCTTCTCTCCTTCCACCCCACCCCCATTTCAAGAGTCTTGGGTCTCTGAAGAGCATTGTTTACTGCCTGTTGGTACAACACTTTCCCCTGCCGCGGAGGCTCAAATTTCCCATGGAGATCTGACAGGTGGCACCTTTCAATCACAGCAGGTCCCTCCTACTCTGACCCCAGTAGTACGCATCCTGTGGTCATCTTGCTTCCCGATGTACTTGCCTGGCCCTGGTGACCTGGAAAACCATCCAAAGGCCCATTTGGATGGTCACCAGCCCTCTGGCCACCCCTGTTCATCCAGAGCCCAGGCTAGGCCTCCTTTGCCCCGCCCCCTTGTGTCTTTAAATAGTGCCTTTACTCTTCCTTGGACAGAAGCAGCTGCTGAAGGGTGGGCTAAGGAGGGGGAGAGAGTGGGACAGCTGCCTACGGGACTCGGGGAGGATGTGTCCAGGCTCACACTGGACGGAGGGATTTGGAGGGAGGAGGGGAGGAGACTGAGGGGCCAAGGTGATGGATCACTGGGCTTAGAGTCTAGAAAATAGAAAGCCGAGTTCTATTTTGAGCGAAGTGACTGGTACACAGCAGGCTTTGTACACATTTTTGTACTGAATTGAGATTTTGCTCAGAAAAACCAAACAAACACACCTCTCCCTTCTCTACGTGTGTCCTGTGACCTATGTGAGAAAGACACCACTTTTTGGAGAACCTGTGCAGGGGACCCCCACCCCCACCACCGAGGAAGCTCGGGACTCCTTCAGCCTCCGCCCCCGGTCCCCCCCACGTCAGCCACACTGGCCTCCTTCCTGTTCCTTAAATCGATTCCTTGCCACACTCACACTCGGGACTGTAACCTTTTTGCTTTTGTTCTTTGCGGGACTAGCTCCTTCTCATTCTTTTGCGCTCAGCTCAAATTTCATTTCCACAGAGAGGCCTCTGTGACCTTCAGTTCCGTGCCATCGTTTCAGCTTGTTTTATTTTCACCTTACTATTTATCAGGATCCAAAATTACCATATTATCTGACTCTCTCACTACACTCCACACTGCACGAGGCAGGGACTTTATGTACTCTGCTCATGGCTATGCGCCCAGGGACTAGCAAATGGCTTGGTCTGTATGAGCTGCTCAATAAGTATGTATAATGTATACATACCCAATGTATAATTGGATACATGAACTGATTACTTAGTGAATAGAAGCATGGAATTGGAACTGGGAGGAAGCTGCACTCGGGATGATCTGAGAGCGAGGTCTGGGTCCCTACCAGTGGTTGAACGGCTCCCCAGTGGCAGTCGCTGGCTGCCTCTGGTGTTCAGATGCCGCCTCCTCCCGTCTCGAGTTTCCCTGCCCGAGATTGGTGGGACTTTTCATGTATCTCCCTGGCCTGATGTCATTTTTAAAAATTAAGTCATTTCTCTTCCTACCCTCCTGTCTTTAGGTATTGAAAACAGCAAAATGTAAGATCATCGTATCACCCCATTAAAACTTCTCTGAGACAATTTCATGCATTCATTGATGGATTGGTTTTTGAACACCTTGTATGCGCTGGGGATATAGCAGGGAACTCGAGAAAAAAAAATAGGCAAAGCCAGATCGCAGAGCGGTCATTTTAGCGTGGGGAGAGGCGGCGGGCAGATCAATAAGCAGGGTGTGTGTGCTACGTTAGATGGTGGTGGATTCTACAGGGGAACCTGCGGCAGCGAAGAGGATAAGGACGCGTTTTATTTTGGGGGGAGGGTGGGTGATGTCCTTCGAGTGGTCAAGGAAGCCATCACTGAGAACATGACATTGGAGTAGAGACTGGAAGGAAGTGAGGAGGGGGCAGCATGCAGCGACCTGGGGGGGGAGAAAACAATCCAGGCCGAGGCCAGAGCACAGGAGCACGGGGGAAAGGTGGGCGTGTGCTCGGTGTGTCTGACGAATAGGAAGGAGGCCGGCATGGCTGGGGCAGAGCCGAATCGCATGGGGCCCTCGAGGCCCTTGTAAGGACTCTGTCTCTTTGTGATTGGAAGCCATTGGAGTGTTTAAGGTCGCGAAGTGACATGATCTAACTTTAGTACTTTAGTTTTTGACGAGGTCACTCTGGCTGCTGTTTGGAGAACAGCGTGACGGGGACGCATGAGTCAAGTGAGCAGACCGGTGAGGAGAGTGCTACGGAATCGCAAGGTGGAGGCTGGAGGCTTGGACCCGCTTGTCGTCAGCAGTGGGGGGAGAAGTGGTGAGGAACAGTGACGGTGGATGACAGCGATTGACACTGCGCAGGCTTTCTCTTCGAGCTCGTAGGATGACCATCCCGCTCAGGCCCTTGGCATTCCTATTCTCTTAGCTCCTGCTCATCTCAAAGGAGTGCAGCTAGGGGTCCTTGTGCTCTCTCCACGCCTCTCACGAGTGGCCAGGGCCCACGTGGGGAGATCCCGGGTGACAGCCCTGCGTCTCTTCCTTGAGGCGGACGTCGCATCCAAGAAGACAATACTGGCCATGGTGAGTAACAAATACCCAACTCCCCGCTGGGAGGGTGGGAGGCTGGGAGGCTGGGAGGCTGGGAGGCTGGGAAGGGGTAGACCGCAGGACAGAGGGAGGGGCCAGAGCACCAGCGGCGTGGCGCTGCCGAAGATCAGCAGTTTTGGATGATGCATCTGGATTCCCAAGGCCTTGGAAGGCTGGGGCTGTATAAATGGTCTTTTACAACATAAAACTTAGCAGGGACCACTTGAGATTCCTACTTTTGGGTCCTCAAATCCTCACCTGGAAAAGTGTGGGAAGGAAAAGATGCAGTCTCATAGTAGATAACTCGAATAACATCATCATCGATAAGAACAATGATTTCCCTGGTACTGGGGGGAGGGGGAAAAGTGGAGTTGCTGTGCAACGGGTATAAAGTTTCCGTTATTCAAGATGAATAAGTCTAGATAAGATCTGTACAACATTGTACCTATACTTAACAATACTGTACTGTGCACTTAAAACTTTGTTAAGAGGGTAGATCTCACATTGTTTTCTTTAGGACACATTACTTTTTTAAAAAAAGATTTTATTTATTTATTTTTTTAGAGAGGGGAAGGGAGGGAGAAAGAGAGGGAGAGAAACATCAATGTGAGATTGTCTGTCATGCGCCCCCTACTGGGGACCTGGCCTGCAACCCAGGCACTGCCCTAACTGGGAATCGAACTGGCGATCCTTTGATTTGCAAGCCACTGAGCCACACCAACCAGGACTCATGTTGGGTTTTGTTTTTTTTTTGCTACTATAAAAAGACATTTTTGAGAAATTGGGGGAAATTGAACATATGCATTAGATGACATTAAGAAATTACTATAATTTTAAGGGTATGAAGATGGTACTATGGAGAAAATACTTTATCTGGTAGGGATAAAAAATAGATAAAGAAAATATGGTTAAATGTTAGCAATTGTTAAATCCTGGTGATGGGTATATGGAAGTTCAATATCTTGTGCTCTCCACATTTCTGTGTGTTTTAAATTTGCCTTCACAAAAGTCTAAAAATTAAAAAAAATACAAACAATGATTTCTTATTATTGAGCATCTGCCATGGACTAAATGTTTTAATTACATTATCTTTTTTGTAATGATTTTGAAAAAACTTTATTTTAAAATAATTATAGTTTACAGGAAGTTGCATAAATAGTACAGAGAGGCCCTTGGGTGCCTTTCACAGAACTCCCACTAAAGGTTAACTCTTACGTAACTATATGCAACATCGAAACCAGGAAATTGGTGTTGGCACAGTGGTGTGCACAGTTCTATGGCATGTGTGGATTTGCGTAACCCTCTCCACCGTCAGCACGCAGAACCATTCCGTCACCACAAAGATCTCCTTTGTGCTGGGCCTTTATAGGCGCACCTCCCCCTCCCCCCACCAACTTTAACCCTGGGCAACCATTAATGTCTTCTCCGTTTCTGTAAGTCTGTCACTTGGCGACTGTTACTTAAATGGAATCATACAGTATTTGACCTCTCATTACACCTAAAAAAAAAAAACAAATCTTGTAAGAGCTCCTCTCCTTTTTCCATACAATTTCTTAATATTCCATAATATGTTGACTGTATTTTCAAAAGCAAAAACTAGGGCAACCCATGTCCACTAAAACACATGGACAATAATGTTTATTGAAGCATTATTCATACCAGCCCCAAACTGGAAACAATCTCAAAGTCCATCAACAGAAGCATGAATAAATGAATTGTGGCTTATTCATACAATCAAATGCTAGACAGTAATGAAAAGAATGAATACCATGCACAGAACAATATGGATGTTGTCAGAAGCCGACCAGCAGCTGACCTTTGACACAGTCAGGTCAGGTGAGACGCATCTGCACAGCAGAGGCGACTGTGGCTGGGTCTCCTGTCTATCTCCTCCTGTATGCCTGTCCCTGCTAGCAATAGGTGGTGGGATTTTTGGATACCTGTACGTTATCACAAAAAATCTGCACGATGCCTCTGATTCTGCACGAAATGACTTGCTGACCACAGAATAGAGACCCCTAGCAACCCTAGTGCTGCCTGCTTTCCCCACCTGGAAAGTTAAGGACAAAAACTAAACTATGGGCAGACCAACTGCCAGAATGCTGAAGGAAGCTGCTGCTAGGAATGCTTCTTAGGGAATCACCACTTGAAAGCTTAAGATTTATTAGAGCCACTACCCCTCCCATACCCTGGACAGGAGTGTATAGAAGCAAGGAGTTCTAGTTGAAAATAATAATCTCAATACATGGAAACGAACACAAAACATGCCCCCCCCCAAGATGTATAAATCAAAAAACCTAGGCAAAAGACCAGTTACCTGAGATAAATTTCACCTTAACAGATAATAGCTAATTTCTATGTCACCTATAAATCACCCCTTGCACCCTTTTAATGTAGACCAATCCCTAGAATCTTAATAGATACCTAGTTACTAATTGGCACCTGAAAGTTTGTGCCTGTATAGCTTCATCGGCTATCTGATTAATGACCCTCTTGGTCAAAATAACCTTTGTTTAACATGGTTGATCTGTGGGACCTCCTGTACTTTTCAGTTATTTCTTTGTTTAACATGATTGATCTGTAAAACCTTCTGTTTTTAGAAATTATTTCTATGGTAACCGTTCAGTTTTAATAATCACACTATGCATTGAATGTTGTATAACCTCCCCTATAAAAATAAAGATTGATTTTTCTCAGTGAGTCGGTCGGGCCCAAAAAGGCCTGGCTGTCCTCCGGCACCCCACCAGTCTCTTTGCCTTAGCCGTGCATCCTTCGGGGACCCTGAGACCCTGCCGAGGCTGGACCCCGGCAGGATGTAATCTGGCAGACACTGCGGTGAGCTAAAGAAGTCAGGCACAAAACAGAAAATAATGTATAATTTCCTTTACATGAAGCTCAATGATAGGCAAAACTGAGATAGAAGTCAGGATAGTGATCAACTGCAGGAGAGGGGATATTGCCTGGCAAGGATCATGAAATAACATTTTAGGGTGCTGAAAGTATTTTGCATCTTGATCTCAGTGGTGGTCATAGGAATGAATATACATTTTACGAATAAGCTTAAGATCTGTGTATTTTACACGCATTACTGAATGAATATCATACTTCAGTGTTAAAATATCAGGGCACAGGGTTTGACAAAGATGAGTTCTGAGAGCAGCAGTGAAGCCCAGTGTTGAAAATTTGGCCTTTCTTGGACAATTAGGGAGGTACCTGGTGACCCAGCCATTGGGACATTTCTCCAATGGGAAGTGCACCCATGCATCATATCTTCCAAAGTTAATTTACTGGGAAATCCCTGGAAAAATCAAGGAATTCAGGCAGGTTTTTTTTTGCTGGGGGGAGGGTGGAAAAAACTGTCTTGAAAGGTAAAGAGTTCACAAGTACCCTCCTTGCCCTGTGACTAAACACACTAAGTTAGCTAAAAATTGCTTTGTTTTCATGGCCCAGTGCGTCTAACAGAAGTTGAATAAAATGTAAGTACACCAGCCTCGTCTTTCTGTGAGCAGGAACCATGCCTCCCTTTATCTTTGTAACCTCCGAGAAAGCTTAGAGACCTGTACACACGCAGCTGTATTCAGTTTCTTGGAGCACTGGTTCCCCAACTTGGTGGCACAAAGGAATTTATGTACTATTTATGAAACTTCCTGTAAACCTGTAATTATGTCAAAAATCAAATGTTTAAAAAATCATTACAAACAAGAAAAACAAGTGAAATAGATAATGTAATTAATTAAAATCCATGGCAGATACTCAGTAAAATCATTGCTCTTGCCCTGACCAGTGTGGCTCCATTGGTTGGGCATCGCCTGGCAAAGTGAAAGGTTACCCGTTCTGTTCCCGCCAGGGCGCGTGCTTGGGTTGCCAGCCAGTCCCTGGTGGGGGCCTGTGTGAGAGGCCACTGATCCACGATTCTCTCCCTCTCTTTCTCCCTCCCTTCCCCTCTAAGAATAAATAAATAAAATAGTTTTAAAAATTCATTGTGCTTATGTTTTTAATTTCTAGGCTTTTATTTTGGCAAATTTAAAACATACAGAAAAGTGGAGAGCACAGTATATTGAACTTCCATATATACCTATCACCAGGATTTAACAATTATTAACATTTAGCCATATTATCTTCATCTATTTGTATCTTTGATAGTCTTTTTTTCCAGTTTTCAAACCCTCAAAATTATAGTAATCTCTTAATGTCATCTAATGCACATTAATGTACCTCTACTTCACCTGGGGAATTTAAAAGTTTATTGATATCCGGGTTCTACTCACAGAGATTCTGGTATCATTGGTATGAGGTGAGGCCTGGGCATCGGGATTTTTAAAAGCGCCCCAGGTGACCTTAAGGTGCAGCACGCACTGAGAACTGGCGTTTGGGAGAGTTTTTCCTCTTGCACGCCTGATTAGTGCTCAGACATCAGCTCTAGGGGTGCGGTGGGGGCGTGGAAGCGAGGTTCCTTGAACCCCGTAGTCCAGCCTCTTCCTACAGAACCACCGAACTCAAACCTCTGCGAGACCACTGCGGGGACTTGACGTCCAGGCTGCAGGCGCTCTGCACTCCGGCCAAGCCTCTATGGTGTTTGGGCGACCTCTCTAGCATTGGCAAACCACCCTCGCCTTCCGCCAGGGCCGGCAGCTCCCTCTCTATTGTAGCCTATTTCCCAGAGCTGCCTGGTTGGAGGAGGCGGGACTTCCTCCCGGAAGTGGCCCACGTGCTTCCGGCGATACCTACCTGTGTACAGGGTAAGTTTTTAGCGGTAGCCCAAAGTTGGGGACACTGGTGACCGGCTCAAGGCCGTGGTGAGTGAACTCTGACCTCAGTGTGACTCTGTTGTCACTGGCACTTCAGAGGTGCAACCCCTGGGCGGGGGCCCGGGCGCGTTAATTTTGCATGTGGTCGAATCCCACGGCCCAGGACGTTCAGGCCAGAGGTTTAGTGGGTTCTCTTCCGGTCTTTGGAAATTTTGGACCGAGGTGACCTGGAGACATTGGGCGCCAGCGCCCCGGGGCTCGATTTCCAGCCCCATTATTGGCGTGCCGCGTGACCTTGGGCTAGGCAGTGTTCCCCTTCCGGGGAACTCAGTTTCCACATCTTTGAAATGGGATAGTTGAACTCAGGTCAGTGGCCCCTCTCGGTCTGATGCCCTATGATCCCTCTGCATTCCTGGGTTGGGCAAGTGAACGGGAGAGGTGGGTTCTGACAGTGATATCTGCTTCCAGGACTAGGAGGCTGGAAGGAGATCTCCACGGTGCAGGGCTGAGATGGATCCGCTCAGGGCCCAGCAGCTGGCGGCGGAGCTGGAGGTGGAGATGATGGCTGATATGTACAACAGGTAAGAGGCAATTCTGTGTTACCTTGTCTTAGGGAATGGTCCTAGATCACTTTTTCCTAGGGTAGAGGTGGTGCATGATTTATGAAAAATGCTTTACTCAATTTAGGGGAGTCTGAGGCTTGTGCTGACCCTCCTCCTGCACCCACACCCACCAATTCCCTGGCCCCTGTGGTTAAAGCTAATGCAGACTGAGTATGGGGTCCCTAGAACAAGTTCGGCATTTAGATTGGGAGGGAATTGGTGATAAAGGAGCAGAGCAGGAGAGAAGCTTCAGTTTAGGGTCTGGTTAGGTTCCAAGAACAGTTAGTTAAACATTTGTCTTTTGGTTATCTTAAGATAGGACGACCTGTCCCACTTAATTAACATTTCTTAAACTCTTAACTTCACCTCAGGTACTGCTTGCTAAGCATTTTACGTGTGTTATCTTTTTTAATGTCCAAAATAATCCACTGGGTTAATTTTATTGTGAGGACCGTAAGGCTTCTAGAGGTTAAATAACGTTCTCAGGGTCCACAGCTAGTCACTAGCAATGTTAGGTCAGTACTTGGGCAAATTTGGGAACAATTCATAGCTCCAGCAATCACTATCAGTATGGTCTTGGGCAAGTTACTTGGACTATTTGACCAGTGGTTTCCCTGTCTATCAGATGGAGGTAATACTGCCCACCTCATTAAATGTTAAAACATTGATAAGCTCTTAACATCAAACCCAATACATAGTAAGGAGTCAACAAATGTCTGCTATTTTTAAAAAATTAGATTTTATTTATTTATTTTTAGAGAGAGGGGAAGGGAGGGGGAGAGAGGGAGAGAAACATCAATTTGTGGTTGCCTCTTGCACACCCTCTACTGGGGACCTGGCCTGCAACCCAGACATGTGCCCTGACTGGGAATCAAACTGACAAGCCTTTGGCTCGAAGGTCGGCACTCAGTCCACTGAGCCACACCAGCCAGGGCAAATGGCTGCTAACTTTTATTGGCTTAGGCTTTTTGGTGTCCTCTCTTAATGGGTTGGTTTATGTTGGAGGCTGTATGTTAGAATAATTTTTAAATGTAGGCTGTGAAGTTAGACTACTTGGGTTCATAGCTCAGCTCTGTGTGGTCCTGAGGCTCTCTGCGCCTTATTTTCCTTATCTAAAATGGGGATAGTGATCGTGCCTAACTCATAGGGTTATCATAAGAATCATGTCAAGTACTTAGCATGATGCCTGAACATAGCCAGTACTCAATTAATCATTTCTATTTGATTAATTATGAACATGGGCTCAGGCAGAGTGCCTGTTCTCAAGGACCTTCCAAGGTGGTTGAGGTGTACACTGAGGATTTGCACTGCCTGCCTGGGAGGTGAAATCAGTGTGGCAGGTCAGGGATGGTTGAGAGTTCCTGGTATGCCACAAGGTGCTGCTGACCTGACCTTGCCCTTCCTTCGCCCCAGAATGACAAGTGCCTGCCACCGGAAATGCGTGCCTCCTCACTACAAGGAAGCAGAATTGTCCAAGGGCGAGTCCGTGTGCCTGGACCGGTGTGTCTCCAAGTACCTGGACATCCATGAGCGGATGGGCAAAAAGTTGACAGAGTTGTCTATGCAAGATGAAGAGCTGATGAAGAGGATGCAGCAGAGCTCTGGGCCTGCGTGAGGCCCCAGACAGGATCCACCTCGAGGTGCACCCTGCCCCTTCCCACTTGTTTAAAGTGCTCCCATAGGGTGTCATCTGTGAAGACTGCCAGGCCTAGGCATCTCTGGAGGGTTTCTGGGAGCCTGGGGGCTTTCTCCCAGTCGAAGAATGGGTATGTGTCACATTGGAATGTGACTATATGTGTATGTGTACATATATAAAATATATATATATATATTAAAAAAAAGTTTGTTGTCATCCTAGTGTGTGCAAAACTGCCTGGTACATTGGAGTAAAGGCGGCAGGTGAAGTCTAATGCAGTGTTGAAAACTACAGACTGGTATAGTGACTTAGGTCTGCACTCCACGTCAGCCACTTGATGTACGACCTTGAACATGTCATGTCACTGCGCTTTAGCTTCCTTGTAAAATGGGGACAGTCATAGGGCTGTTGTGAAGATTAAATGAGTTAATATATGTGAAATATTTAGAATAATGACTGGGGCATAGGAAGTACTCCATAAATATTAGCCATATATATGGCTATGTGTATTATATATATTTAAATGTACATATCTACATAACAATACAGACTGGGCAGGGTGTGGGCCAGAGAAGGCCACCAGTGATTTTGCCTGCAGCTGCTGCCACTGCTTGGCACGCAAGGTGCACCCTGACCCTTCCTCTTTGGGTAGGCTTGAGGGTGCGTGCACAGGTGGTGTCCTGGGGCTTTGAACTCCAAGGCCTTCCCTGGACAGGCTGTGAATCTCCCGTCCCAGCCCTGAGAATGAGTCTGCAGGGACTGCGCTGCCACCAAGCACGGGCACCCCAGGCTTCTAAGAACAGCTCTGTGTAGCCACCTAGTCCTCTACAATCAAGCAGAGATGAAGAAATTGAGGCATAGAATAGAGACATTAAGGGTGTTTGTTTGTTTGTTTGTTTTAGAATTATTGAAGATAGCCCTGGCTGGCATAGCTGCAATCTGGGCTGCAATCCAAAGGGTCACCTGTTCTATTCCCAGTCAGGGCACATGCCTGGGTTACAGGCCAGGTCCCCAGTGGAGGCCACGTGAGAAGTAACCACACATTAATATTTCCTCTTTCTCCCTCCCTTCCTCTCTCTTAAAAAAAAGAAAGAAAATAAAAAGAAAGAAAATTACTGAAGACAGAGTTTTCTTAGTTTTACTTTTTTAATGGTCTATTTTAAATCAAATACAATTTGACATGATGGCAAAAACAATAATTGGTTTGAGTTCCACAACTGCAGAACTAAGAGGATTTATGTAGATCAGACTCAGTCCAACAAAAGATGTTGCATTTTTTACATTGTAGGCAAGACCCTTCATCAGCAGAAAGATTGCAGCTCACTTGACTGCAGTGCTCTTTTGTGGTGATTTGGACCTGAACCCTCAGTATCTCTGAGATGGCATTTCATTTGTTGCATTTCCAGTTTGTAGCACCAAGTCACCAACAAAGATTTTACCAAAAACCTCAGCACCAGTAAATGTGAAGGTTGGACCCCAAGTGATTGTGAGCACAGCACAGAGACTAAGCAGTTCCAAAAGTGTTCTGACTGGGAGTCCACAGTCCCCTGCGCCAGCAGGGGTTAACTCAGGCACATGTAGTAGGAGCTACTGGATGGGTCCAGGTGATAGATTATGGGCCAGAGAATTTATGGACTCCAATTTTTCAGAAAGTAAACAAAGCAAAAGAGATAAAAATGGCAAAGGCTTGAGACATTCTTCAGTGAAAGTGTGAGAAAGTTCAGCAGAAAGGTACAATGTCATACAATGAAGTAACTGATGAGCTGGTATCGGAGTCCAGCAATTTAAATAACTGTTTGGCAGCTGATTCAGTTTATGCCCAGAGAAACAGTAGGCAAAGAGTTTGTGGTGTTTTGAATGTGCTAATGGCAATGAACATTTTTTCAAAGGAAAAAAAAAATCAGGTGGATTGGCCTGGCGATTCTGTTCAGGAGTGTCGGAACCTGGAGAAGGAGGCCCTGGCTGGTGTGGCTCAGTGGATCGAGCGCCGGCCTGCAAACCAAAGGATGGGTGGGGTCGGGGCACGTGCCTGGGTTGTGGGCCAGGTCCCCCATAGGGGATGCACAAGAGACAATCACACATTGATATTTCTTTCCCTCTCTTTCTCCCCTTCTCTAAAAATAAATAGAATATTTATTAAAAAAAGAAAAACCTGGAGAAAGAGGAGAGGCAGACAGAACGGATAAAGCGGCAGTAGGCCCAGCTTCGAGAGCTTCTGCAGCAAATGGCTTTCAAAAACCTGGTACAGAGAAATGGATAAAATGAACTGCAGAACCAGGGCCCTCCAGCGCTAAACTCCACCATTCAGCTGCCATTTATAATCGTCACTCTAAGCAGGGAAACAGTCATAAACTGCAGCATCTCCAGTGACAAGTTTGAATGTCTTTTCCCTTTTGACAGCACCTTTGAGATCCATGATGACAGAAGTGCTGCAGCAGAGGGGAATGTCCTTTGCCCTGGAGTCAGGCAGACGCTCTCTGGAGGACCTGAAACTCTGCATCACTGGTGCCAAAGGCTGTAGCAGGCTGTATCACAGATACCTCCACAGGACCTTGGTCAAATTAGGGACTACGTGTGACTTCCACCCTGAGTTTCACATTTAGGCCTGACCACTGGTGCCACCTGGGCCCAGTCAAGTGTAAACCAGGGGGTTATTCTTGGGTGCTGAAGTGGCCTAAGCAACAGCTCCTTGCCCCAAACAGTCCCCCGTCCGGCAGTGCGGCCTCTCACCGAGTCCCCAGATGGTGAGACACCCCCCTGCTTGTTCAATGAGGAAGACAAGGAAGAAGAGGAGGCGGATTCCTCCTCCCCAGAAAGAGATAGGACAAATACCACGTTTTTTAAAAAAATAAAAATACAAAAACATACTGAGTCCAGCACAAATGCCCCTTTTTTAAATGACACAATCTTATTACAAAATCATAAGTATGTAATTCTGTGAGAACAGTGTCACCCTGAGACACACCATACGACATTTTAAGTGAAAATAAAACTAACTACACCCATTATTACTTCACCAACCACACTCAGGCAGGCTGGACCCTGTATATGCTGTTATATATTATGTATAAATATACTTAATATTACACAATTTGTAAAACATATTCATGTTTATATTAAATATATAAGTGGTTAATATAATTATTGACAACGAATATTTAAATGACAAAATTAAGTGGAGGCAGGCATTACAAATGCTATAAAAAAGTATTTATAGAGCCATGGCTGGTGTGGCTCAGTGGGTTGAGTGCCAGCCTTCGAACCAAAGGGTTGCTGGCTTGATTCCCACTCGGGGCACATGCCTGGGCTGTGGGCCAGGTCCCCAGATGGGGGTGTGTGAGAGGTAACCAATGGATGTCTTCGTCCCTTCCTCTCTCTAAAATAAATAAAATCTTTTTTAAAAAAGTATTTAGAGGAGCCAGTGAAAGGTAAGCTGGATTTAAGAAGGAAGCAGCCAACCTGTTGGGTCCACATGGCAATACTGAACACGTGAAGGGACCCAACTTGGCACATGATCCAGAGAGGACACGAGTGATCACCGTTGCCACTCAGTGTCCACCTGAATCGGACAGAGCTCCTCACTCTCCATACACCATCCACCCCATCTGACCCACCCAGCTGGGCTAGGGGTCCTCTTAGGAGCTGGGGGCCCAGAGGAGCAGCTGCTTGCTGGGGTCACGAGCAGGACAGAGCCGTGGACTGAAACTGCATTTGCTGCCTCGTGGAGGAGAGCCTGCCCCCACCGCTAGTTCGTGTCCCGAGGAATGCCCGTGGAGAGTTGTGCAGCTTCCAGAATGTGGAGGACACTCAGTCCACGTGGGATTTCGGTTGACACCAATGCCACTGTGAGAGTGGTCTCGTCTCTTCACAGTGGGCCTTCTCGGTAGAGGGAGGTGTCCGGGGTGTCGCCTCGCCAGGTCACCGGGCGTGGAATGAAGGAGACAGGATAGAGGCAGTGAGTTTCAGGCTTAAAGGTGAAGATTCGAGCCAGACGTTTTCTAGCAGTGTGACATTGGGTGAGGCATTTAACTGTCCTGTGCCTCAGTTGCCCCATCTACAAACTAGCAATAAAAGTACCTAACTCATTGGTTGTAAAAATTAAATGTGTTAATTACTGAAGCGTTTAGGAGAGTGCCTGGCTCACATTAAGCACGCAGTAATGTTAGCTTTTAAAAAAATTTTCGAAGTTTTGTGTGAGAAGACCCTGGATAGACCTCTGGAAAACTTCAAAACTGTTGTCCACCCGCATTTGTGGTGGGCAGAGAGCTGAGGCTTCTTTCTAGGTGCTGAAGTTTAAGTTTGGTTCACCAGGTGGCGCTGTGTGCTCATGGGATCCATGGGCACTGCTGTGGCCAATTCTACAATTACATATTATTTGCTTATCCTATGTGGGCGTTGTGCTAGGAAGAGGGGAGAGGTGAGGAAAATTAATACTGGGTTTGCTTTTAGGTTTAGCAAGGTACCTCAAAAATTCTCTGAGCGCATCGCTGGAACACCTAGAAGGGACGGTAGTTGTGGAGACAAGAGCACTTGTGTTGAAGTGGCAGAAAGTGTGGAGGGTCCAGGAAACAAAGCTGGTGTGTGCCTGGAGTGCTGAGTGCGCAGGGAGGTGGCGGTGAGAGCTGAGGCTTGAAAGCTGGGCGGGCGCAGGTCCAAGAGAGCCTGGTGAGCTGTTAAAAGAGTTCGGATTTTCTGCTACTAAGGGGATCAGCCAACTGCTGAAGGATGTAAACCCGGGCGGTGACGCTCCCAGGTCTCTCGCGTTAGAGCTCCCTCTAGCTGCCAGCCAGGTGGATAGTGGGAGACGCTGGTTTAATCGGATTAGGCCAGTGAGGAAAGAAGGGGCATGATGTAAGAACAGCTATTGAGTTGCTGCAGTGTGCTAATAAGTATATTTATTACAGTTAATCCTTACGACTGTGGAGCAGGCACAATTATTCTCATTTTATAGATGAAGAAGCCTAGCCTCCAAACAGTTAGTAACTTGCTGAAGGTCACACAACAAACAAGCAGCAGAGCCAGGATTCTAATTGATTCAGACACCAACGCCAAGGTTTAACCAGTCCTCTAGGGTTGGGGTGGGGTGGGCAAGCTCCTCAAAGGGACAGCGATTTCGTATTTCACTCAACAGTATTAGTTGTTGGCCTGTTACATACAAAGAAGTATAGAACCAGCTGGGTCCCTGCGCTCAGTGAATGAGTGCAGGGCTGGGAGGG